ACATAAATACACATGAACAAAAACAAAATTCAATTTATCAAAATATTTATTAACCTGGTTTTTATCTTTAACAATAGATTATAAATATTTTCTATGCCAATACATATTAATTAGCATAACTGTTAGTATTGTCAATACTTAACACAACTGTATGGTGTAATCTTTACACGATATTACATAACTTATTAATCATCTGTTAGACATTTTACTGTTTTCTTACCTTTAGACTATTTTATGCAGAAAACAATGAAATTTACCCCCAAATCCTTGCACATAGGAATGTCTCTGAATTCATAAGACTGAAATAGTAGGCTTGAATGTGACTCTTTCACTTGTGCATGCTATTCTATACCAGTAAGAAATACATAAGAGAAACATTCAAACAATGATTGGGATTTCTTAGGTGACTCACTCTTTCAGCGACTCTTGAAGAACAATGCTCAGTGCTGGACATGCATATCTTCTTTAGGCATCGTGAATGTTCCTTCTTTTGCTTTTGTTCTAAGCTGCAAGAAGAAAAAAGTATTGTAGAGGTTCTTGGTGGTGTTTCTCAAACCCAACCAGTGTGTCACCTTCTGACTTTCAGGACCCTGTACACACCCATGTGTGAACACATGGCACTATTAATTGTGTAGAGTAGAACTTCTGATACAAACGTTGCCTAATCAGGATTCATAGCGGCAGTCCTGACAGAACATAAAGTGTGGAAGCCTTAGTAGTTAGTTCTTTCATGTTATTCTTTCTCAAGCCAGCCCAGAATCTGGATATAACCTGTCTATGATAAATCAGGTAAACAAATGTGACATGCAAACAATTAACCAGACAGAAGGAGTAATAATAAAAATATTTCCCACAGGAGAAAATTGAATGGGCAAGAAATAGACTTAGGAAAACAAAATGTAACTGCCCAGCTCTGGAGAGGCTGAAGGAGTCTTATTGTAATATGTGGCGTCCCTCTTCAGCTAGTCAGGATTTGACTGCATTTATAACCCAGACTGAGCTTATTTCCATAAAGATGAAACAAGATGCAAAATTTTTGGAGGCAGTAAGTAAATTCTTTTTCCTCTGAATATGCCTTTATAGATGCACTGGAAGGATAATGGACAAGTATTCACTTTCTCCATGGAGAAAACATGTATTCCCGGTTTTCAGTCTTTCCCACCCCACACTAAGAGCTGTGTCACTTCAGAGAAGGCCCTGAGTTGACAGGATCAATAGGGCATATGGTGAGGCATGCCAAATTCTGTGGATCACATATTTTTCTTGTGAATGAGGGAGGAATGAGGGAATCACATATTTAAAACCAGCCAAACATAGATAGACCATAAGCTTTAAAAATGTCGTTTTCAATTTCAATAATTACAACTACTTGGTATTGACTATCTCCTATGTGTCAAGTATTGCGTAGCAGGAACATTGTCTACTATGTGTCATGTATTGCATACCAGAAACACTATTTTTAGCCTTTCAACACTTCCACAGGCAAGGTGTTATTTTCTGTTTCTCAAAGCCAGGAACTCATTCAACAGCCATGAGATCTGGTTCCGGCTTCTTTTTAAATTAGTGCTCTGCAGTTCAACCAGAGCAAGTACTACTGAGCCCTTAAACACACCAAAAATCCTTGTTTCCTACACCCTATTGGTCTTTGTTTTTCTGCATGTCAGTTTACTCAGTTAGTCTCCTTACATCTGCCTTGATAATTTAGATATTCTTTTGCTTGCATCAATCATTATGATGATAAATTAAAGATGGGTTTGTTTCATCAATTTGCTTCATACCATAATATCCATGTACTGATTCTTAATCCATACACATCACCACTCTCCCTCCCATCAGACTGATAAATTGTGCACAAATCTGCCAATTAAGACTTAAACGTCTCTGAGTCAAATTAATTCAGAAAGATTTTTATAAGCCTCCATTGTTTAAACATTATAGCACTCCAATTTACAGTGTATCATTTCAAATAATTTATAGTAAACTTACATTTTTCTTATTCTCACTTATAAAATGTTAAAGAAAAATAGTGTAGTGTATGTGAAACGTACTGTAATAAGCTATATTTGAAATAATTTTGGAAAACAATGTTTTACTTTTGCTTTTCAGTGTAATCTTTGTACCAGGTATATAGTAGATGCTCAATAAAAAATTGTTACATGGACAACCTGCAAGAACTGCAGGATTAAGGTATAACTAGTGGTGCATATTTAAACATTCATTATGAGGAAGAAATATTGTCATTAAAACAGTATTAACTATGTTTAAAAATATCGCAGATGTATTTTTTTTCTTTTTTACTTCTGTCTATGAAACAAAAACTTCTTAATGGCTTAAGGCACTTCCAGAAATGCTTTACAAAGATTCAAGAATCATTTGTTTCATTGCTTTTCTCTTAAGTTTTGACTTTTTTTTTACTCACCAGAGTTAAGAGGTATTCCTCAAGAGATAATACCAAAGATACATTAAAATCTATGAGTTTTTAGTAGATCAGTCACTGTAAAAGCTATGTTTGATAGTCGTCCATAGTTAACAGTGTGTTTCCTAGTATAGTCTTTATCACAAAAGGATATTGATAGGTTGAGGGCATATTGAAACATAAATAGCAAATATTTGTATTATTGACTTTCCCTGAAGAGTTAAATATATATAAGAGAGTAAACACTACAATAAATACTCATGTAGCATCATCTTTCTTATCCAGGAAGAAATACATATCAGATATTAATATTCAGGCTTAGTTTGCCTTCTCTATAGCACTCACCTAGGCACGTTTCAATACCTTTGAGAAGGGAATGATATTCTTGAGATAAATGTGCATGAAGGTGAAATGTGTTGCAATAGAGGCAATTAGTACTATTTATGATTATAGTTTATATGATGTTGGCATCAGTTCATTAAAAATGTACTGAACTATCAACTCATTTCACACAGATCATTGAGCAGCAGTAAAGTGATATCATTTCTTCTCCATTATGACTCTGAGCTGTATTCAAACCAGTGACTCACAGGATATAGGCTCCCTTCGGTTGTCAGTCTATAAGTATGCATTCATAGAGTTTCAGTATACCTATCTATACCATTTTGTTTCTAACTGCAATCCTTTTTCTTTGAAATGGATACAATCTATAAATTGTCTCTTGAAAAGCACAAATTTTAGGTACTAGAAAATGATTATATTATACATTATATACTTGTATATTATATATTTTTTGATATATACATTCATCATTTTATTAATTCTGAATTTAAGTGGTCATATGTGGCATGATATTGAAAGGTCTTTTGGCTGCTAAGCAGAAAGAAAATAGGTTTATTCAAATAACACAAATGTACTGCTCGCATACAATTCTCTGAGGCCTAAATCTCCACCTCACATAATTATAGATAGTTTCAGGGATCATAGCAGCTAAAAGAGCATTTTCCAAGAGAGCTAAACTTATCTGTGCTGAGGAAACATTAAAATTTATTCATTATTTTTTATAAAATAACTTTTTGTGTAAACATTACAGTTTATTGAAGTTACCATGTATACACTTTAGGTCATATCTGAGAGTGACATTGTGCAAACAGATACCAAAGTGATATTCCAAATACCTTTCAACTAGGATATTCTATTCTACTAGCAATGTAGCCAAAGACTAGAGTCATATCTGGGTCAATGGGCAAGAATAATTTCTAATTTAATCTCTTTTAAAATATAGTCTTCTTTTTATATATATCAATGGCAATTGCATAGAATTTGGTTATTTAAAATAATAATTTTAGCACAGCTAGCTCAGTCAGTAGACCCCGAGACTCTTCAAATAATAATTTTCATTAATTATTCCAGTATTGCTTTAGGGACACTCACATGGATACGGTGTCCTTTAAAAATAGCAGGTGGGCTGGGCATGGTGGATCATGCCTGTAATCCCAGCACTTTGGGAAGCTGAGGCGGGCGGATCACCTGAGGTCAGGAGTTCAAGATCAGCCTGGCCAACATGGTGAAACCTCGTCTCTACTAAAAATACAAAAAATTAGCCTGGCATGGCCCGGCTCAGTGGCTCACGCCTGTAATCCTAGCACTTTGGGAGGCCGAGGTGGGTGGATCACGAGGTCAGGAGATCGAGACCATTCTGGCTAACACGGTGAAACTCCGTCTCAAATAAAAATACAAAAAATTAGCCAGGAGTGGTGGTGGGCGCCTGTAGTCCCAGCTGCTTGGGAGGTTGAGGCAGGAGAATGGCGTGAACCTGAGAGACAGAGCTTGCAGTGAGCTGAGATCGCACCACTGCACTCCAGTCTGGGCGACAGAGCGAGACTCCATCTCAAAAAAAACAAAAAACAAACAAACAAACAAAAATTAGCCAGGCATGGTGGTATGTGCCTGAAATCCCAGCTACTTGGGAGGCTGAGGCAAGAGAATCACTTGAACCCGGGAGGAGGAAGTTGCAGTGAGACAAGATCGCGCCATTGCACTCCAGCCTGGGCAACAAGAGCAAAACTCTGTCTCAAAGAAAAAAAAAAAAAAAAAAAAAAAAGAAGACAGGCGGTACTGTAGGAAATATATTGACTACAAATGTTATGCTAAAAACATCAAGTAAGTGCAGTGTCTGGCCATTCAAAAGAAATGAAATGTTGCATTTTCTAAGTATTTATTTAGATTTATCAAAAGCATATTTGCATATTTCATCTTATTTAATTTTTTTCTGTAATTTTGTCGACTAGTATGAGTTTTTTTTTAGTTTTGTTTTGCCTCTCTTGTTACACTTTTCAAAGCCCCAACTTTAGTTTTAAGGTCGTGAATTATACAAGATTGAAATTCTTTTTGGTATTTTGCTGGTTTGCCATTACATAGTAAATGGCATATAATTAATACTTGTTCTTAGCTTTGTTCCTAGTTTGGTTTATTTTGCTTTTACATTGTGTCACTTGTTGAAAGTGTTTTGATTTTGTGTTCCACTAGGTCTGTTTTATTTGAGAGGAGTGTTAATCAGCATGTCCTGTGGTCTTCTTTGTAGTCGCAGCGCCGTGTTACGTTTCACCTCCCTGATGGCTCCCAGGAAAGCTGCAGTGACAGTGGTCTAGGAGACCACGAGCCGGTGGGTAGTGGAACCCTGATCTCACACCCTCTTCCTCTGGTTCAGCCACAGGACGAATTCTATGACCAGGCCTCTCCGGACAAGAGGACTGAAGCAGATGGCAACTCTGATCCCAACTCTGGTGAGTCCCCTTCAAAATTTTGATTGCTTGGAGTTGTTCTGGTTTTGTTGTGCACTTGAGCTTTCAACAGTAATTGTAGGGTGCAAGGATGAACATCTCATTGTTTTTTTTGCTGGCTTTATTGTTGTTGTATTGTTTGAGATACACATTTAATATGTTTGATATGATTTTGGCTGTTAAATTGTATGATATGTCTTCATTTTATGAACCATTAAAAAAGAAAAAAACATGCTATAAATATAACTGAAAGAAGCCATTTGTTGCAAGATATTCTGGTGTCAGAGATCTTACAAAATTTGAACACATTTTAGAACTGCAAAAATAGTTAAGTAGAATACAGTCAATTAAAAAAAGAAATATCTATTTGTGTATATAAATGTCGTATGAAATTTGATTTTCCAGTGAACACTTTACAAAAACAAATAAAGAATATTAGAATTAAAGGTATTTTAGAATTTGTCTGTCAGATTTTCTGGGTTTTACCAGAAAATTAAAAAAATTAAAAAAAGGATTAAATCGTGATTAAAACAAGCGTAAAGAGGGAAGATAACAATTTGGGGGTTGTATTTCCTTTATCGTCTACTTGAATTCTTGGATAATTTGTTCTTTTACTAATATGTTGAGGGAGATATATTTGGCCAAAACTTTTATTCTCCACAGACCCATACCCCACTCCAGAAATCATTGCCCACTCCAAATAAACATTGTTGGGGGGCATGTTTTCCTTGGCCTTTGGAGGAAATCTTGGGCAAGTGCTAATGATTTTGCTAATAAAACAAACTGACTAGCTTATTTTTATTAAATAAATAAAAGACCATTTCATCAATTATTATCCCCAGTCTAATGACCATAATTTCTATTTTACTTAAATTCAAATTATTTTCTGGTGGGGTATGTTCATGGTGGGGAAAGCTATGCATGTGTGGGAGCAAGAGATATATAAGAAATTTCTGTACATTTATCTCAATTTTGCTGTGATCCTAAAATTGCTCTAAGAAGTAAATAATACAAATAGTAATTATAAAAATGCATCTAAACTAATCAGAGCAAAAAAAAATGTTTTTGCTTGTTTTTGTTTGTTTAACTCGTCTTGAGCATGCTCCAAACTGGTTGCATGAAGTGGGAAATTGAAGTATGATGACTTTTTCTTAATTTTCTGCCTATTTTGCTTCTTATTTTTTCGAACATGAAAATATCTCTGGCATTTCTATGGTGGAAGTAGGAATACCAAGAGGAGGTAAAACGTACAAAAAGGCTTTCTTAACCAGTTCTGTGATAGTAATACAGCATTGGTGTTCTCTGACTTCCAGAATTTTAAACTTCTTCTTTTTGTCAAAAGAAGGAGAGAGTTCTTTCTTAGGTATGCCTCCTCCCAATCCTCAGCATGTCCCCATTTTTGGAAATCTCTTCTCATTGGCAAATACAAGGCAGGCAAAGTTACATTTTATCGTCTCTCTACCAACAATTTTCTCTACTCAAGGAACTCTTTCAGGAGGATCTAAGTAAACTCCCTGCCAGCTCTGGCTTTTGTTATTTCATGTCCTATACCTTTGTCACATAAAGAAAACATAAGTGCATCTTTTGATTTCACACATAGAGGAGAACAGGACATACCCAAAGAAGCAACCTCTTATTATTACACTGAATTTGGGAGAACGAGAACTATCCTCTTTCGATTTCAAGGTTTTGACCAGTGTAAGCACCACTGAATCAAAGTGGTTTCATTGAATCAACCTTCTCTAGACTTCTGTGAAGAGGTTTGTGTAGGTGGAATTCACATAGCTCTTTCAAAACTGTTTTCCTAGTCTCTGACTTTGCCCTATCCAACTTTAAAACATCTCTTGTTGGAGTAAAGCTAAGAGTCTCACAGCTGGTTCCTGACCACGTTTTCTCTAAGTGTGTGTGAGTGGTTGACTCCTCTTGTCTATGGACATCAGACTAAACCAAACAAGAAAGAGTCCCATTTCAAACACAGTTGCACAAATTGTTTTAGGGCTTGTCTATAGAGTTTACCAAAGTTAATTTACAAAGATATCTTCAAAGTATTTGCAGTATGTGCAATTCTAGGTAGAATATTTACAATGAATAAGATTAAGACAATATTTCATGATTTTTTTTTAGCTAGAATAATGAAATATTTTAGATACATATGCAAGAATATCTGGGTACAGTAAATTTAATCAATGGGTTGCAGAAACCAATGAACATCTGGGTAATTTTCTAGTTAACTAATTGAATTAGAGATTTAAAAATTTATTTCAACTAGAAAGCAAAGGCAGCTTTTCAAATTTAATAGCTATAGGGATAAAATGAGAGTTATATATTTTATTTGCCATAGAATTTTTTTGTCTGTCAGCCAGGGCCAACAGAGAAGTATCTGAGTAAAGAAAAAAATTGCAAAATTATGTTATCTATACCTTCACTATCATAGCAGTAATATATATGCACAAAAATGAAAACTGTGTTGACTCATAAGAAATAATGCATTACTGAAAATATATTTGGAGAAAAGTAAAATTTAGGCTTATGTGCAAAGGCTCACTTAAATATGTATTATAGCCTGGCATGGCAGCACGTGGTTATAGTCCCAGTTGCTATGGAGGCTAAGGCAAGAGGTTCACTTGAGGCCAGGAGTCTGGGGCAGCAGTGAGCTATATCACACAACTGCACTCCAGCCTGGGAAACAGAGCAAGACCACCTTTTCCTCAAGTATGGGAGTGTCTCAAAACATAGGTATTATAATAAAAAATTTGGTTTATGTTTTATAGCTTAGTTTTTAGAAGTAGTAAATTCTAAATTAAAGGCAAATGTATAAAGTTATTATGATAAATATATTGCTAAAAAGAATCATGTGGTAATATTTCATTTTATTTTTTGTTTGTTTGTTTGTCAAGAGATTCAGGGATACTTTGAATACTTTAATCAGAGTCTAACACAAAGAGTCTGAAGTCTCTAAGAGAAATATATTTTCAAGAAAGAAAAAAATAAAACATGAATGAGAAAAAAGTAGCAGGTTTTTGATGGTTGGTAAGTTCATCTAGACCAAATATCTAGACCAAATGGACAGACAAGTTTTGTTTTGTATTTGTTTTTGATTTTTAGGCTAGAAATGATTTTTACCAATATAGCTCTGCTTTCTCCTAAGCTCACACTTAAGAGAGCCCATGTTTGAGTTTTCCAATCATAGAAAAGGGAAAAGGAAAAAAAGTATTTTTCCTAGCTAGCTTTTAAAGTATGTTTAAACTAAACTCCCTAGGCCAAAATATTATCCAATACATATAACAATTTACCGAATGATTTTGACCTAGGCAGCGGCAATGGGCCAGGTGCCAGATGGAAAAAGATAGCCGAGGTCCGAAACCAGGAAAAGAAAGCAAACAAACAAAAACCTTTAAAACTAGCTTCAAGAAATCTCTAGACATTTTATCAATCTAGTCACATGGAAAAAGAGACCCAATGGACAGCACAACCTTGGGCAGTCCAACATTCACCCAACACAGTGACATCACTCACAAGCATAATGATCAATAAAATGTCTTTAAACAGGAAAGAACAGGGCTCTTAGGTTGTAACAGTGCCTTGTTCATCACTGGGAAGGGGAGAAAAGAGAAAGTGGAGAAGCGAGAGCCCCTGAGAGCCCCTAGAGGCTAGCAGTTCTCTTGACATTTAATGGGACATAAAATTTAAACCTCCTTTGTAAATGTCTAGAGCAGAATTAATTAGAATGGCCTAGAAATATTAAGATAGTCAAACTGAATGTTCATTCATATTAGGATAGAATTATTACATATTATCTTTAAATTTTGCAGTCACATTTTTGGGAATTATGAGAAATTTGTGAAGTGAGGTACAGTGATATTGATGCAGTAATCATCTCTAGCAATAATCTTGCTATTTAGTTCTCTATTGTCCCCTTTGAATTCAGTGGAATTTTTTGACTGGGCTTTGATAGTTCCTGAAGAGTTGTGATTTTATAGCACGTAAAATAGGTTTCTATTGGATGTCAGTATTATCTGTAGAAGTACTAAGTAATTTTGATTATACTTATCTATATTTCTATTTTTTCAAATATGGTTCATATAAAGAAAGTCATTGAGAGCTAGTACTAATTTCTATAGTAACTATTTCCAGTGGGTATTTTTTTCAAAGAAATTAATACAAATGGTAGTAACATGTGGAGACATTTTTGTAAACTTCAAGCTTCCATATAGGTTATTGCTTCTAAACACACACACACACACACACACATACACACACAGTGGCATTTGATCTGATAATACTGATCTACAATATTCTTCTTTATTCCCAATTTTATGCATTTGGATTATTAGCATTATCGATTTTATATTATATCTAACTCTTAATTAAAACAATAAGTAAATGATGAAAGTCTTTACCTGCATTGCCAAAAACAAATTGTTTGCAAATTAAGCAATAATTGATAGGTTTTGTAAGAATGATGTTGATGTAAATCTAAAGCAGTCTCTACTACATAAAGTATGACTCATAAGTCACTAATTTTTGTGTGCTGGAAATAGAGTTTTCATTTTTTTCTTCCATTTTTTAAAAATATTGAATCCCCATTGCATTGGTATGACAGAAACTTCAGTTCTTTTTTATCTCAATTCCAGGGGATCGTCATCATCAAAAGGAAGTGCAATATTCTCAACCTTGGGTCATTGATCTGCTTTTATGTCCATTGTCTTATCTGCCCAGAGGGATCTCAAATGAGACTGCCTTCATTCCAGTCCTCCTGGACTCTGGGAAATTGCTGATACCTCATGCCATAGGGATAGTAAATAGGTTTTCAGTGAGTTTATCTTTGGACTCCCATGTCTAGATGGACAGCATGTATCACTACTCTTGGGGATCTTCCTGACTCCCTGGACTCTACGATGTAATCTAGCCTCAAGGTCTTTCTAATCTTTATCCTCTAGGTTTCTCTGAGTTCTGCTCAACAAACATGATACAGAATCTCTCCTCTTTATATTCCCTCCCCT